TATACATAAAAGGGGTAATAAATATGTAGTTAGAATAATTATACACACTTATACTTATGTATTTGTATATTATCACGTCATTAGTACACGTTGTTCTATGTATATCATATTTGTATGATCACTTCTTATAATGARGAAAAAAAGTTATTTTTTTCTCAAGTGCAGAATAAAAATTGTTATAATATACTTTTCAATTTAATTGTCGACAAACTTGAAGTATTCGTAATATATGCAATGCGTGTTTATATAAACATTCGAGTGTTTCGAAGGCGGTTAAAAACGAAAATATAATAATATACCTATGCCATAGGTGGATATATAGGCATACCGAATTAGATGTCTCGCACTCTCGCTGTTTACATTACTGACCATGCCATAATCATGACGGGGTAGTCACTAATAATTTATAATAGGTAAACAAAATAGTTTATTATGGATAACATAAATATTACAGTCGTGCAGGGGCAGCAGCAAACGCTTCTAAGTATGTTGTAGTTGCCGTGAGTAGATATGATATAATAATATTATAATTATGATACTAAAATATATTAGGTATATAGGTCATAGATACTCTGCGTTCTATACGCGCTATGTGGCTTATCCGGGCGTTTTGGAGCCTGTGTGGAGTGTTCACCGTCGACCTGTCACACAACAAGTTTCAAAACGCGTACTCCGCACTGCTGATCGCCATGTGCGTGTACAATTTCACGAACGCGTCGCAGGTCTTGTGCAAAGTGGACCACTGGTGCGCCACATTCTCGTTTACGCTGACGGTCGTGTACGACAGGACGTTGTCGACCGCCGTGTTCTTCTCCCGGATCGCCGTCGTGTACAAATGCGAGCCCAACATGTCCAGGTACCGGGCGACCATCAGCGCGTTCGAGGCGTACTCGCCACCGTCGTCCACGGAACTCCGCCGGCACAGGGCGTTTTCGCTGGTCGTGGTCGCCACGTGCCTGGCCGTCATCGTGCCCACCAACGTGATCTGCATGTACTACTTGTGCCACTACGAGCCCAACGTGGACGCGTCGCTGTTCGTCTACCAGCTGTTCATGTATATACAGAATCTGAGCATGTGCTGCATCGAGACGCAGTTTGTCGTGCAATGTTTCAAGGTCTACACCAAGTTTAGYGGCATCAACAGCGATCTGAAGAGGCTGAAGGACGCAAACGTCAACCGCTCCGAGTACCCGTTTATGTCCTCCGAGGGCTCGCCATCGTCGACCGCCGTGTTCGACAAAAACTTTTACCGTCCGCGGTTCATGAGCCATCCGACGGCCAACACGGTCGAGTTGCTCAGGATCAAACACTGGCTGATCCGGCAGTCGACGGACGCGCTCAACAACATGTTCGGCGTGCACATGGGACTGTCGGTATTCTATCTGTGGCTCATGGCTCTGTTCGATATCTATTACGAAATGTTCTATAGCTCTCGGTCGCGACTGCTGGTCTATAGTTGGCTACTGCAATACACGCTGAGGCTGTTATTGATCATATTGATGGCGCACTTTACGGCAAAACAGGTACTGCAATTTTAACCTTTCTATCCATATAATTATGTAAAAACAGTGTAACACCTTGTAAGTTGGTTACATGTTTGTATGATATAGTTGTATTGTAATATCTTTAATCTTAATACCTTTATGATATTATGTGCAGGCACTAGAAGCGAAATCGCTTATCACGGATACCACTAGCGGAATTATGGATAGTAGTACCAAAGAAGAGGTAATTATATGACTTCATACTAGGTATAATATATAGTATCGCAAGTTCGCAACACATGTAAGTTAGTAAGAAAGAATAAAATAAAATAATTTATTCCACAATATTCGTTTGTATCTTTTTTATACTATTAGGTATCTTACATATACATCATACAGCTCAGAGACGTTCGCTTATATATATATTAATAAGCCTAAATTATTAAAAATATTTTGACACGTGGTGTCTCCACTCAGGATTTTTGAATTATGATTTTTAAAATATTTGTTATACAATTAATATAATTCATAATATTTTTTGGTTTACCTGAATCTGAATTATAAATMAAAACAGAATCTAAAATTATTTTTTTTGTATGGTTAAATATATTACTACCTATGTCAAATGTATAGAATTATAATTAAAGTTTTTATTAAAAAAGTGTTTAGAACTAATTAGTAAACTAATACAATGTTGATATTGGAAAAGCTATGTTTCGTATCATGTGAATAACAATTTGAAACGTGTACCTACATACTGAATTTTGATATTTTCGATTTTCGTAATTGTTGGAGTTATAATAAGTAGGTAGATAATAAAAGCTCATCACGATAAAATTATCAATAATAGTATAAATTTATGTATTTGTCATTAAAATATTTAAAAATCTTAATGAAATTAATTTCAATTTATTCAAAATTTCACGAAACTTACCCAGCTGTAGTCAAACTACACATAAATACTTATTATATTGATCGTACTTGAAGTTTTATTGCCAAATAGTGTATAGTCTCCTTTTCATGTATTTCATATTTTCATGTCATGGTTCTGAGTCTTCTATCACCTATGTCATTTATTGTTGAATAATGTTACTATAATTGATTGTAATATTATACATTTTTAATAAACTGAATATAAATTCATACCCTATATGATGGCGAGTGTAAACGAAGACAAACGCGTCTTGRAAAATTATTGATCCAGAATAACCAAATATTATTACAAGGTCTAACCTAACCTTTAACTTATTATTAGTAAAAATATATTTTTAGGATTTTAGAAATATTWTTTACATTTTCATATTTCAATGTTTTTATTTCAGTTACAGTTGTTCATAAATCAAATATGTAGTTCTACAACAGAATTTAATGCGTATGATTTCTTCACGTTGAATACACAAGTAATAAAATCGGTAAGTGACTTGTTCAAAATACCACTAAATATTTCTGGGTTTTAAATTATAATCTTAAAACAATAGTAATTTTAATATATTATTTTATACGTTGGAAAACACTGAATAAAAACTAAAATTTAATACTGTGAACATTATAATTTATAATATATACTAATATTAAATAATGTTTTTTAGAAAATTTAATTATTTGTTATKCAGGCTATTGCTGCTGGTGCTACGTGTCTTGTTATTTTGGTACAATTTCACGCTGAGAGAATTTGAATTAATTTACCATCAAGATATCCATATAATATAATGATACTTAAACACAAAATGCACTTGATAACAAAATAATAAATATAGAAAACAAACATTATATATTTAATTCAGAAAAATCTTGTTTTCGTTCCTACTTATTTTGACTTATTTCCTTCTTTGAAGAATAGTGAGATATCTTCAGCTAAGATCGTCATTGTTAATAACATTAAGAAAATCTAGAGATACTTACGTTATGTCTAATGTCAAAGAAAGTCGTATTCTTATTGTATGACGCGTCAAATTTTTTTTCAGCGTAAATTAATTTACTAAAATAACATTTTATTGCTTTATCGTTAATTTTCCGTTAAGGAATGCTTGAATTTTCTAATAATCAATTATTATTTTTTCCATCTAATCAATTGTTACATTTATCTTTASTTAATAAGTATATCGAAGTTTTATACATAATATAATATATATTTTTTTTCTTTTAATGTTATAAATTTCTTTTTTGCGATGTTATATAGATAATAGATTTAGAATAATATCAAAACAACTTAGTATTATAAACATAAAAATAAAAGCTACACCCTCCAACACAAGAACAGGCTTAAAGAAAGTATTAAAAAAACAATTATAACATTAATTAAATTATACTGCAATAAAATATAAATATATAAAATGTTAAAATATAATAATATAGGTACTAATTATTTAGTGTCTTAACTCTATTAACTTCTAAACAGAGCCGCCAGAACCGTGTTGAATGTGTTGATAGTAAACGATAAAAAATATCTGAGGAAAACAACATTTTTCGTTTAGAGTTATTTACAGTACCAGTATACCTAACCTAATTTATTAGGTTTATAAAATTTTTTTATGTTTTATTCTATAAATGTCAATAAAATTGTATTCGATGAAACAAAAAGCTTTAAAATTGTATGCAAGGTTCCTTATAAGTTTTTATATATTAGCAGTTGATAAATATTTCGAAGATTCATGTAGGTATGATTTCTTTTATGAGTATTTAAAGTTTACATTTTGACAAAATTTATCAAAATCTCAAAATTTATAATTTTGTAATTAGATAGTAGATAGTACCTATAATAATATACTTATTGTAACTCTATAGTATATTACTAATGCCTATAATAAATTAAAATGTATTACTTTAAACATGATATGATAAAATATATTACCTACAATTATTATAATATTATAATCTAATGGGCATGGCCGTTTTCGACCAAAAACGTACCCTTCCCTTTTCGGCCGAATGCCTATTCACTTTTAGACCAAAAAAAAGTTTAATATAATAAATTAATAAACAATCTTAATGTTATACAAATCGAAAATTATTAAAACCTATAATAATAACTTATATAATATAAGTAATATAATGTTTTGTCGTAAATACATCATCACGTGATGGCAATTGGCAACTACCATAATATTATAAAGGTTGCTGACTTGTTGTATAATATGTAGAATGTACCCAAACCGATTGTCATAGGTATTGTAGCGAGTCACTATCTTTCATAACTAAGATAAAATATCAATAATCAGTAACTTATTTTTGTAAAATCGATGCTCGTGCAGTCTATATAACGTCATAACTACAGAAGTACTGCGCGCAGTGTCTACGCGTGTATTATAGGTACTATCTTTACGACGTTTTCATAATTCAAGACTTTATTTTTTTACAAATAGTTGAATTTATTAAAAGTAATCGCCGAGTTATTAATTATAGATAATTATAAACTTACTAGAAAACTATGCATTACTGTTAGTATACCTAGTCACTAACCGTCTTTTGACGCGTATCGTCAGTATCTAGCCGTATAAGGTATAAGTGTAAAACCTATAGGTGAAAAAATGTCTGAATCTAGCTGTGATGACAACGATGTAAATAAAAATATGTCACCGCCTAAGGAAAAATTTAAAAGGTTAGTGAAATTTAATAATACTTGGCTTAAAAATTATGCATGGATAATGTCTGCCCAAAATGAATACCAAGCCCATATTGTAAATTTTGTCGTTGTAATATCTCCATATCGCATGGAGGTGAAAATGATTTTAAAAAACATGAAAAAACAATAAAACACTTTCAATTTGTAAAAAATMAATCAAAACGTATTTCTACCATACCTTCATACATTCCATTATCCACGGAAGAATATCAAGTATCTGCTGCTGAAACCGCTTTCATTTACCATACTGTTAAACACGCACATAGTTATAACTCGGCCGAATGTGCTGGAACATTATTTCATTCATTATTTCCTGATTTAAAATTAACTCCAAAATGTCGATGTTGTAGAAAAAAGGCCACCAACATTTTTAGTAATGTTTTAGCACCATATAGTATAGAACAAGTTTAAGACGATCTTAAAAATAATCGACCATTTTCTATAGCAACTGACGCCTCAAATAAAGGAAATATTAAAACATTTCCATTTTTAGTTCGGTATTTAAAAAAAGATGTAGATGAATGTGCAAAGCTTCTTTTATTTTATTCACTAGAATGTGAAAAATCAACTTCTATTGCTAGTTCTATTTTGGAGAATATAACAAAACATAAATTAAATATTGAAAACGTTACTGGATACTGTGCAGATAATGCACCAGTTAATTTTGGTAAAAACCAAAGTGTACCTACGTCTTGTTGAATTACAWAAAAAAATTCGAACATCTTGGGAATTGGGTGCCCTTGTCATATCTTACACAAWATGGGGAAATATGCTTGTAAAGTACTGAAGTTTGATTTAGAAATAATTATCATAAAATCTTATAACGAGTTCAGTAATTCTACAAATAAAACAACCTCCCTTAAGTCTTTTTTCCATTGGTTAGACACGGAGTGGTGTGAACTTTTAAGGCATGTTCCAACTAGGTGGCTAAGTTTAATACTAGCTGTCGAAAGATTGATAAAAAATTTTGAACCGATTAAATCGTACTTTTTATCTCAAGAAAACACATCAAAAATATTGTCTGATTTTTTAACCAGCTGATTTGGGATTTTTAGCAWATATCGGTCATATATTCAATTTTATAATAATGAAACTTGAATCAAATCAATCTTTAATTGTTGATCTATATAATATAATGGAAAAGTTAAGAAATGATTTAATTGAAAGAAAAAAGAAAAGTTTTATGGTGCTACAGTTCGTTCTGCAATAATAGGAGCTCAAAATAATAATAATAATAAAAAACACCTTTTAATACGACCTCACCTTTTTTAGACGAGGCTGAAATGTTTTATGATCAATGTAATACCTATTTGGATAAGTGGTTTCCTTTGGAAAATAATGAATTACAGTTATTCCRTTGTTTATCACTTAGTACAAAAAATTACGAAAATAAAAATATACCTACATGAAATTATAAAGGTAGCAGACACATTATTAATTAAAATAGAAGAAACTTTGTTGTTTGAAGTAATGAGATAATTAAAGTTATTTTTGGTAAAGTATGCATCAGATAATACTTTTGAAACTACCTCATCAAATAAAAAATGGGTTCAATTTTTAAAAGAAACTAATGCCCCTAAACTTGAAAAAAATGATTAATTATGTATTATCAATATAGATTATAATATTATAACTAACTCATGATAAATTTATATTTTTTAAGTTGCAAGGGGTTAATAAAGTTTAAAAATTGTGTCCACAAAAATAAACTAGTTCTATATTTTGAAAATAAAAATGGAAAAATAAATTAAGGATAATTGAATCATGATAAAATTAGATTTTTTTGTTGAGCATGGTTAAAAGAGTTTGAATATTATGACCAAAAAAATAAACTAGAGCTAAATTTTGAAAATAAAAATGGAAAAGTGGTTTTGGCGGCCGCAGGCAAATGGTTTTTAAGGATCAAAAAAGAAATTTGGAGAAAATTAAATTCTCTGAATACACAATGAAGACTGCACAATGTATTCTCAAGAAAAATTAGTGAAATAAAATATGAAGGATAATTGAATAATGATATTATTATATTTTCTAGTTGCAAGTGGCTAATAAAGTTTAAAAATTGTGTCCACAAAAATAAACTAGAGCTATATTCTGAATATAAAAATTGAAAGGGGGTATTGGCGCCCGCAGGCAAATGGTTTTTAAGGATCAAAAAAAAAATGTGGAAAAAATATAAATTCTCTGAATACAAAATGAAGACTGCAC